CAGCTGATGAAAAAAGCCATTCATGAACTATCAAAAATTAAATTAGTTTATATATTATTTTTGAAAAATTACCAGAAAATCTATAAATTGACGAGATTATACATTTTTTGGGACAGTTATAGGCGTGTCTATTTTTATTAACATATGTATTACGCAAATATATTTTTGTTCTGCTTTATCGTATGAGTATTTTTTATCGGCAAACGCACAAATGAAACGTCACGTCTTTGAAGCGCTATTGTGACGTAATTACGTTTATGTCTCGAAGGTCCCTTTTCGCTTGACGCAACTCAAATATGTTCTTATTTGCTGTTCCCCTGTTCTTTGTACACTGCACATGCTCATTAATCATATGCTTTATTAGGGTTTGAATATGTATTTTGACTTTGAGTATATTCATGTATTTTTTACTATCTATTTATTCACCTAACTTTGAAATGTATGATTGTACTTAATTTTATATATTGTTTGCATCATGTAAATCCTAATTTGGTTCCCATATTGTGATTATATTTAAACTACAATATTTAATAATATGTTTTAAATTTTTTCCTTTAGAAAAAATACATAAAAGTCAAAGTTTTGGACAATGAAATAAATCATCATAACTAGTTACATGTGTAAACTGTATACATGTACTTGATAATGATTAAATATTTATTTATCTGAATATCACAATCATTTTTTGTGGATTTCTTTCCAGGTAGAAACAACAATATAACTCAAATTGCTGCATCTATTGGAGCACCCATCTTTAGCAGAAATTTTACTTGAATTTACAGCATTTCCATCGAGGCATCAAAGCATGAATTGATCGTTGTAACTTACATGTAACATCCCTTGCAAGATTATTTAACCCTTATGAGAAATCACAAAATGCAGTGAATGACTTGAAATTTAGACCTTTGCTCAACACTAAGGCCCAGTGAGAAGTGAAGGTTCTTTAGCGTGCCAATGCCTGCTCTTACATGATCCAAGACCTCCAACTTTCACTTTATTGTGCCAAGTGCTAGTGTTGCTGTTTGGGCTGGAACCCTCGACCCAAGAACAAGGAGGGAGCGTTCCACAAAATGGGTGATCACAACACCCATACAGTGAAGATTCTGAATTGTTCAAATCATGACCCCCAGGGGTAGGGTGTGGCCACAATTGGGAACCTCCAAGCATAATTAAGAGATGCAATTACATGTATTTTATAATGGCTCGTTGTGTACTTGTACATAGGAAGAACAATGAAGACAGAAAGGTGTATGTAACAAAAGTAAATGAAAACTTAGCTCAAACAATTTTCGGGAAGAGTGATTTTGTTTTTCAAATACATGAGCATGTCATAATGATTTAAAAAGCAGTAAAAGCTGTTTTTTGTACATCTTCCACAAATGTATTGTTACAGCACCAGAATACATGATTAGCCACTGGGAAAACTATTCATATAATTAAAAACAAATTGCATATTGTTGTTGTACATTTACACAGCATGTACATTATTCATTACATTTACAGATGTGATGAAATATTTAGGTACTATACATGTAGTTACTTGTACGGTTGGTGTGAACCAGTTTTACCACACATGAAAACATTTTTGTTATTTCTCATCAGAAAAAAAATAAAACTGTAATAAAATTTTGGTTAAAAAAATTAAAGTTTGTATACCTAACAGGTAAATGAAGTGAAATCATTATAAACAAACACAAAATATTTTTGTATATTTCAGCACATTTTGATACTGAATGGTACTTTTTCAATACTTCATAGCTACATCTTTTATACCTGTCATCATTTCTTCCTGAAGTGTGAAATACTTTATGAATAAAGTATTATATCTGTGTGTTACCTCCTTATATTCTTTACAATGGAAGCAGGCTTAGAGTAAAATAACACAGGTGCATAATTGTAAAATGTTTTTTTTAAAGGTTGTAGAGTTTACTACCCATAGCATGCACGTCCTGTAAAAAGACACATGAATTCTCAATTGAAATAATATATCTTTGTAAAGATTTTGGGTAGGAATTCCCAAATTACAAGCTGATGGATATTTTCTTCACTATTTACATGTATCACTATCAAAAGTCTTGGAATTTGTAGATTATTATTAATTCATAAAGATAAGAAAAGAGGATACTCCTACAATTTAAATATTTATTCTACAGTTTATCATAGTTCATTAACATGATTAAGACATCAGTATTCAATCATAGATTTATATTTTGTCTTTTAAGTTGACTATTAAAGCATATATTTAGTGGAAAATGAGTCTATAAGAGTAATTTAAAATGATTTTGATTATGAATGCCAAATTTTGCCATATTTCAATTTAAAACTCTTAGTCCAAAAAATACAGAACCCTGTACAAAAAAGACTTAAATAAGCTCTAGTTTATATAGATAGTAAAGACAGACTGAGTAAAGTGTCGGAACAAGACAGAAACCAAAAAGTCCTATCTTGAAACAGTCCCTTAAAATTCACTTGGCCTTTTACCATCTATGCATATTTATAATTTGATAAACACTGTATCATATACATGTACATGTATTAGAGTTTAGTTTGCTCAGAAAACTTTAAACTTCTGAAATGAACAGGCTTGCAGATAATGATTTGTTACATCAGGGACCTATAGGACGCGGATCACGTAAATCATACTTTGAGACCATCCCTAGAGTATTATACGCACATAATAGCACATCATACTTGGACACCATCCTTAGAGTTTTTTTTTAAAATTGGCAAACCACTTTAAATTATTATCATTATTTAGTGTTAAAGTAAGTTAAAGAATAAGTACATGAAACATCAGAATTTATTTGGCCAAGGTATTTTCAATGATAATTTTCCCCCAAAATGTGCCCTACACCAGAGTTTGACATGCCCCCCCCCCCCCCACCACCGAAAAATTAAGGCCGATGACCCATTTATTTTTTGGCATAATTTGCTAGTAAATTGTCTTGTTTACATAATCCTTTAATATGAATAAAAATTCTATTGCAGAATTTTTTTAATGATCACTTTTATACCGTACACTGGCAATTTCCCATTACTTTCTATAGTAATTATTGGTTTCCATCATCAACTTTTGAGACGCTCCCCATTAAAAATCTACATCGATGACCATATATTTTTTTTATTGATTTTAACTCACCAAAAGTCACTTTACCTCATATCAAAATTTAAATAAAAAATCTATTGCAGAAATGAATTAGGTCCGTCGTCGTTAAATTTCATTCTCAGTTAAATCTATACATTGTATATAAATCATAGAACTCTGTAAAACTTTGAACAAACCATATCCTGTTAAGCTGACTTAGATATGTTTTAATATTAAGTCTTTCTCTTTTTTCAACGCAACCGATATAAAACTCGTGACATGCATTCTTATTTATCGCATTCACCCCTTTGACGTGTTATATGAACAGCCACACCTGAAGGCTCTCGGGGGCTGGATTGTTTGTCTGTTTCTTTGTTTGTTTAAGGGTCCTTTCGAGAATTTTTCACTCATACTGAGACGCCACCACTTGCCTATGGAGGGTTGCAAAATTGGAGCTATACTAGGCACTCAAGGCCATTGAGCAGTGAGGGATCTTTTTCATGCCAAAAGTTACTGCGACACGGGACCTCAACTTATACGGTCTCATCCGAAGGACTATTCACCACGTCCCGCAGTGGGATTCGAACCCGCGACGTACGGATAAACTCCTTACTCCGCGATTCTAGAGCAAACGCTCTAACCACTGTCTCCACGCGGGCGACTAACAAGTAAATAATGCCCGCTTGATGTGAAGTAATATAGATGATATATAAAAGGTGCAGATAACAACAAGTGATTTATCTCATAAATCCAGTAAATTAAACGAATCGTAAACAGGAAAACAACATCGACCCCTGGAAACACCAGAGATGGGATCAGGTGCCTAGGAGGAGTAAGTATCCCCCGTCGACCCGCTGGGATCCCTGTATATTGATCAGGTGGACTTAAGTATCGTACATATCTGTGTAGGGCGTACCTAGTCCTACACGTAGGCAGCAAATGCGATTCTCTAGATGGGCTTTTTTATGCTAGAGTGAATATTGATTTAAATAATAATGAGCTTTTTAAAAACGTAATAGGATTTTAGCTATACAAATATGCACAATTCACAAAACAGAGTTTTTAAATTTTATTTATTGTATTGCACAGGTCATAAAATACTACTAATGTTAACTGTCTCCATTTTTTATTACTTCAGATTGACTATTAGACAATTTAATCATTTTTTTTTTCAACTTATCTCAAATATCTCAGCATGGCGGACCTCATTACACAAATCTTTTATCTCACGCTCCAAGCTCCACATGCACCCTACATGATACTTACTTACAGATCAGTTGAACTGCTTTCTTTCGAAAATTCAGGTTTTTATGACATTTTCTAAGAACATTAGCTCGAGGCTTGCCACAGTCTTTTGACATTTGAAAATGAGGAACGAGAGTTGCACTACCCTGCACACCATAAAAAGTCTTTATCTACCCTACAAATCTATATTTTTACGAACTATCTTTACATTATTAGTGCATGGATTATTTACACCTCAATATTTTGCATCACAAATTGATGTCAATATCAAAAGCCTGATATAACGCTTTGATTCGAACTTGTTAATTTGTTTTCTAATTTAAGTTTGCGCTGAATTTTGAGTTGGTTAATTTATGCATATATACAGTATCTCAGTGTTAGGTTAAAAATGATAGCTGTTTGGAGATGCTGTTTAATTGCAATAGTTTTTTTTTTTTTTACGAAAATCTGGAGTGTACGTTAATTTCTCATTCTTTCTTGCAAGTTTTAGTCTTTTATACTTTACATAATATTTCTGCATCATTAAATTCAAGGCCCGTAGGAAACAATTTCAGTTGGGGGTTGGGGTTGGGCACAGGCAAACATTTTCAGTTGGGAGGGCATTATCAACTACCAAAATTCCTTGACAAGTTAAAAAAAAAAGAAAAAAAAAGAGAGAGAACGAAGGTCATAAGATCATCAGCCGTTTTTATTGAAGGGGCACAAGCATATAGTAACTAAGTTTTCTATAGTATTATATACACAAAATTATTGGAGGGGGAGGGGGCACTGCCCCCCGTGCCCCCGTTTCCTAAGGCCATTAATTCGTAGTGCGTTGAGATCCATAATATGACTGAACAGCGTGTTCTTTTTTCTAATAAGAATATTAGGGAATAACTTTCGGGGGAAAAGAAAAAAAAAAAAAAAAAAAAAAGAGAAAAAAAGTAGTCAATAGATATGGAAATGGTCCTTTACTTAAATGCTTGTAATCTAGGTTTCATTTATTCTCCCATCTGGATACTGGATCAAAGAATTCCATTGTATCATCTAGAATCCTGTCGTGCGGATAATGGAGTTAGAGAATTTACGAGATCACGGTCATCTGTTGGCCAACGACAAACTTTTGTAATATTCACATGGGAGCGACAAGGGATCTGGCAGCATTTTCCCTCGTTATCGATTCCAGAGTTTGCTATACAAAGAAGATATACACGTGTTTAAAAAAATACTGGACAAAATCGTGTGTTACAAATTAAAATGATGAGAATTGCTTGAATATTACTACAAGATTGAAAATTGGAAATAAGAAGGTATGACATGTTTAAATAAATAAATAAAAGGTGGACAAAAAACGTGAACTTTCCTTCCATATATATATATATATATATATATATATATATATATATATATATATATATATATATATATATATATATATATATAAACAGAATTCTTTGATTTCTTTTTGTAAAACATTTCCTATCCTCAGTTACTAATGGAAACGTACATATTTCTGTCAGAGTTAAGATACATTGAATGAATAAATAAACTGTAAAAAAAAAAAAATCCTATTTTTGAGACATGCTTACGTTAAAATTGAATGATCAACATTAAAGTGTACTTCTATTCATCGAATCCCCCCACCCCACCGCTCGGGGAAAAAAAAAAACTTACATGGACTATGACAATCTTCATCATATCCACAAAACATCATTTGCTGCAAAAAATATTTATGACAGTCACTGTTTAATTTTCATTTTTTTAAAAAAAGTAAATGAGAATAAAGAAAAAAGATATGTCTTATCACTTAGAATCATCTTTCTATGCTTGTCTTCAGGGGACCTATGTCCAAAACGTCTGTGTGAAAATTTTGAATCGGATATTTTCCACTTATTTATAATTCTCAGGTAATAAAACGTATACCTTCATATGATAATTTTCATGCAGCAGCACGTGCAAGAACAGATGGTTTTGGTGTAAAATGCTAACAAACATCTTTGCTAAGCCGCATAATGTTCTAAATTATGACTTGTCTTGCTCAGATGTTATTGAACTATTGAAGTTTATTTTTTTCCTAATTTCGAATTGCTATCAGTTATTAATCGACAATTAAGAGACAATGGCAAGATCTAAATCATATAGAACAAAAACTGTTATCTTCAAAATATATCTGCTTGGCTTCTCCAATTTGTAATACAGGTATATTTGTATCACGAAGCAAAAATGGCTATTTTTGACATTCATAACTATCTAGATTTTATTACATTAATTTTTAGTTTATAAAATTCAAATACAAGAAATAGTCTGATTAAATTATTTTTGATCAATTTAAAATATACTTTTCAAATAAAATAATTTAATTATTTCATAAAATTAAATAATTTTATTATTTAATATATTCAATTATTTTGTTAAGGTTTGCATTTTAAGACAATTTTAAGAAGGTTTAAAAGTACAGTAAAAATGTCATATTTTGCAGAGAATATATTTCATATTTACTTAATTGTATTTGTTCCTGGTCAGTTGAATTATTTACAACCTGGTTGCAGGGTTCAAAGTTGTAACTGTAAAATAATTTTTATCTTAAGGGACTAACTCGTGATTGATCCCTTGTGTTAAAAATGTTTTAAAGGTTTTTTAATTAGTGTTATCTAGCCCCTGGCCACGCTATCAAACGTACCACTTTTGTGTAACTTAAGGTGCCATATCGCACCTATAATTTTTGTAATTTTCTTATCAAAAATATTACTACGCGTTATATTCTAAAATTTGATTGGTCATTTTTATTATCAAAGAAAAAAAAAATAGTTTCGGCCTGAGCAAAGTTGTATGTCCGTTGCGCCACTTCTGCTCCTGATAGCAAATAAATCGGACGCAACTTTAATTGCTCTTTTTCTTGTTTAGGTAATCAGGTTTTTATTTTTGCATTTTTACTCTAAGTAATTTTTATTTTTTATTGTCTATTTCATAAGTTTCTAATTTAAATTATCTGATTATTGTTTAATAGTTAATTATTATTAATCTACTTCAATGACTAATTAAGACCATATTAAAATATTATTTTTAATTTTATTTTGTAAAATCATTCAAAAATTTAAAGTTCATTTTTTTTGTTCACTTACTGTTTTAGATATGTAATTCAATTATTATTATTTTAACAACTTGTTTACACAAGAAACCAAATGCCACTTTTTAGTAGTCGTCCTAAACTTTATGTTTGTGGGGAATGGGAGTTTGAACACTCTCGTTGGGGTTAAACAGGATTTTTCCTTTTTTTCCCTGGCTGACGACTTCAACACTCAGCTAAATACCTTAAAGGTGTTGGCTGAGCGGAATAATCTAAACAAGAAAAAGAGCAATTAAAGTTGCGTCCGATTTATTTGCTATCAGGAGCAAAAGTGGCGTATATACAAATAAAATAAAATTTAACAATTACATAATGTTACGTAATAATAAAACCAAAAATAAAATTTTAAACAATTTACATGAATTATTGATTTACAAAAAAAATCTCAAAATATACATTACAACAAAATAACTCACTGAATGAAGAAGGCTGAAAATCAATCTTATTAGACAACAAGCACACTTTAAAATTGTAAAACAAACAGCCATGGTGGACAATGAAAAATTTGTCAAAAAGTGGCATTTGGTTTCTTGTGTAAACAAGTTGTTAAAATAATAATAATTGAATTACATGCCTAAAACAGTAAGTGAACAAAAAAAAAATGAACTTTAATTTTTTGAATGATTTTACAAAATAAAATTAAAAATAATATTTTAATATGGTCTTAATTAGCTGCTAACTTACAAACTCCTGTGTCAATTCACAATTGCATGTATTTATGCAAGTAAGTGCAGAAGTCAACTGCAAACTTTTATTTGAAGTAGGAAAAGACTCCCACTATTTTGATTTCAAACACTGCTGCTCTGACGTTGAACGACATAGGTCCCTCCTTAAAATTTTAAACATCTTAACTTCTTTTGTTCACGTTAATAATAATATTTACCTCTTTTAGGAATTCATTGCAGCGTTCCTTTTCAAAATCCCAGCAAGTTTCATCAGGAGTCTCTGTCATCTCTATTTCAGTAAGCATTAGCATTGTTTCTGTATCATCAGGAATGTATGGCGGTATTTCTACTTTCGGTTTTGTTATTGTGTATGTGTATCTACCAACTTCCCTATCTTCAGTTATTCTGGCTCTCAAAACCTGGTCTGAATTTAAGTTCCAGGATATTTTGGCTTTGCTGGAGTTTGACTAAAAAAAAGTAAAAATCTAGAAACTAATTGAGAGCAATGAGAGGTCTTCCGTCCGATTGACCATGATATTGTTGCCTGGCGTTGGTTTTGGATCATTTTTTTCCGTGGTGCAAAACAAAAGGTTGTAGTTTTCGTATTTCCGCTTGTAGTCATGCCGTTTTCTACTTTGAGATACAGACAAAAACATTTAAGTAGACGTTTGAGGGAACCTCGGAATAAAACTCTATTTCGAAACAGAATTGCCACATAATTGCGACGTAATAGTTTTTCGGATGTGCTCGACAATTTGAATTTACTTCCGGTTTGACCGAAAGGGCTCGAAAAGAAGGTATATTACGGATCGATCATCCCTGAACGTTTTTATGAAAAGAAATCATTTTATTAGACTACTTCCGTTTTATATGAACCATTTTTCGGTCAAAATATTATGAATTTAAACTCTCCTTATGACTTTGTCATAAACACCAACCATTGTTAGAAAAGGAAAAAGCTCAAAAACTAAATATTTTAACACTACTTTCGGTTGACAACGGAAGTGACGGTATATGAAAAATCCAAAACAGTTTTTCAATACTACAAGTCAAGATCTATTAACCCTGAAAGTTTCATGACTCTGTCTTCCACCATTTCTGAAAAATGGACAAACTAATCGTTATTCTGATAATGGAATATTAAATTTTTCTCGTGTACGGAACTATATTTTTCAAAAATCAATTCTAACATATGAATTAGTCATGTAATGCCTTATAAATTACTCAAGAATGAGGAAGATGAGTGTATTAGTGACTAAGATAAAGAATATACAAATTCCTACCAAAAATACGAATAATTAAAGCCGCTTCCTATTTGGACGAACCATTCTTTACCTAGAAGTGATATTACATGAGACGCTCTCTTATGAACTATTATAAAAATCTTCATTTGTTAGAAAATATAAAAAAAGATGAAAAAAAAAATCTATTTTATCAAACAACTTCCAGTGGACAATTTAAAACAAATTATAAATTAAGAATTATGAAAGGAACCTCTATTATCCCTACAAAACTAAAAAAAAATATTATTGAAAAACAAAAAAGGTGAAAGATTTGACATTTGTAATTTACTTCAGGAAGCGACCGGAAGTACTGACTACGCACGAAAATGCAATTCCACACAGTTAAGTGTCATGTTTTATTCTATCCAACAAGTTTTTAGTTCATCTCTGTAGCTGTTCATAAGATCCTGCGCTGAAAAAATAATTCATTTTAAAATCAGAAAAATGTCCACAACTTGGAACCACAAATGTAACAATAGCATCTATTAATGAATTATCCCTGAAAGTTTGACGAAAAACCACTGAATAGTTTTCGAGACATTGCGTACAAAAACATTGTCTTAAAATCTATTTTTCAAAACTACTCACTGTGGGTAATTTTTAAAACAATTTATATATTAAGTATTTTGATAAGAGTCTCTATTATCCCTACTAAAATAATATAAAAATAATGAAAAACAAAAAAAAAAAAACTTTAAAAAAGATGACTTTTTTAATTCGCTTCCGGTAGAGACCGGAAGTACCGACGACACACGAAAATGCGATTATGCACATTTCACCTGATACGAACAGAGTTACAGCTCTGAACCGACAAAAAAGTTAACGGGGTTACAGCTCTCAATGCTGTCTGTGGTATTACCATTATACCGTATACTATTGGGGTTAGCGTTCAGAACAGTAACACCAGACGCAATACGGAAAGCCTCGCTCTCTTTCGCACAGAACGTATTGCGCGCGGATTACTTTTAAAAAATCATTTTATATATATATATATATATATATATATATATATATATATATATATATATATATATATATATATATATATATATATATAAAATAAAAAAAAAAACGAACACATATGATTCGTAATATTGCTCTATATGTATTCATACCTTTTTTTTTTTAAATTATTTTAATCTTCTATATTTAAAATACAATCAGTTTGATTTTTTTTTTTTCAAGCTCTTACGTATATTCATGCACAATACTTAAATCAGAATCAGTAGAAATATTTCATGTGCATCAAACACATTATCAATTTAAAGCTTAAGTCAGGATTTACGTTAATTGTATTCATTATAGATCCATATTGCATAAATTATATAGGTCCTAACATTTAGTATATGGTTGTACTTAAAGCATAGACCGTATATTATTTATAAAAATAATAAATATTGTACATGTATTTTTTAAAACTCCTCTATACGTATAATTTGTTCAGAATTACAAATTAATATAAATGATTAAAGGCTAATCAGCTGTTGGTGGCTTATATATAGATTTGACTGTGATAGAAATAATATACATATTTTTTAATTATAAACCATAAAAATTTCTACATTTGTTATTTTATAAAAGTAGGACGTTCACGTCATGCAGAGAAAATAAAAAAAACTGCAGATGTAGCACGGTGCAGTATAACAGACTGGTATAAAGGACCCCCCCCCCCCCCAAAAAAAAAAATCCTCGCTGCTTCTCTGAGTAGTGGTATTATCGATGAAACAATACAACATGAATATCTCTGCGTGATAAATTAACACTTCCTAATGAAATACCCACAAAATTATGGGTCATCTTTAATTGCACTCTGTAGGATACATAGGCCTATCTGTTTAATGTCTCTGTTATCCGTACCCATTGTGAAGTCACGTGATAAGATGGAGCTTCAGAACGGTCACGTGGATGGACACCAGTACCATGGGTCAAAGGCGCAGGCATACCTTTCTGCAACATTTGTCAACAGTCCAGTAGAAGGTAAGAAAATGTTTTAAGAGCTGATTGAAAAGGGGGCTCGTTTTAATCGTTCTCATCCTCCTTACTAGGTACTAACTCGAGGAAAGTTGAAGCCACGCTTTTCAAAAGTTTTGTCCCTTGGCCGCCATCTTTCTCAATTCCCATCTAGGCCTTATCTCAGCGAGCTTCGTAGAGACTAAAAATTTTGGTCTGGTGACCGCAGAGACACCGTACCAACACTTTTAGTCTCTACGAATCTCGCTGAGATTAATCTAGGCCTATAGGTCTATGTAGAGAACCCTTTGCAACTTTTGTCTTTTAACATGTTTTACAGGAAAAAGGTCTTTGCTTCTTGTATTTTGATTTCCCAAGAACATGGGTCATTGAAAAAAAAAAAAAATTAATGACAGTACGCCCTTTTCAATTGAAAAACCCCCCCGCCAAATTGGGGGGGGGGGCGCAATACATCATGAAGTTTCTACATCTTTAAGGAAGGGAAATATAGATTAAATTATGACACTTTTTTTAACATGTTTAAAAAATCTTTTTCTATTATAGACCTAGTCTATTTAGTAGCCTACTTTGTAACCAAAAATAAACCAAAATGAATATTTTCACTTTTTTTTTAAATTCTTACAAAAAAGATTTCTATATTCAAAATAAGTTTTGCTATTTTGTCTTTGCAAATACCCTTATATTTATGTATTGATTTATCATATCATGTGTATCCCCCACTGCATCACAATATATATTGTTGCACCCTAAATCATTTCTTTTGATCCTTTTGACCTTTTGGTTGACCCAACACAAAGCCACAACTTTTGAAAAGATGAATTTGCAAAGTAAGGACTAGCCTCTACAATGTATTTACCCACAGCCACATGACACTTGCTCACACCTATGTCTGACTTAACCCCATCTATCAATATTTTGTAATATTAAATTAAATTCAACATTACTTATTCATTTGTATTTATCAGACCTGAAGGAAGCAATTTCAGTTTAGAGGAGGGAGTACAATCATATATTTTCAGTTGGGGAGGGGGCACCACCAAGAATTCCATAACAAGCCATAAAAAGAACTAGTCCGTTGTTAGTTGTAGTCGTTTTTGTTGTTGTCATTTTTATTAATTCCAGTGAAGTGTACCTTTTTGCATTACGACACAACCTATGAGGACAGCTGCACTCAAGGTAAATAGTAGTCTCTCCTTATCCCTGATTGGTTGCTTGTGCAACAGACTATTTCCGTGTCAATGTTGACAAAATGATTTGACCAATCACACAGTTCTTATACCGGGGGCGTGAATTGCTTACGCTGGGTGCATCTGTCGAGATAGATTGTCACGTAATGCCAAATGGCACACTTCACTGAAATTGATAATAACTTTTTTACAATTGCATCCTCTTCTCCAGAAACACTGGGCCACTTTCAACAAGTTTGTTTTGGTAAAGGGGATTCAAATTTGTTCAAATAAAGGGCCACACTCTCTTCCAAGGAGAGGTAATGAAGAAATAGTAAAAAGTTAGGGTCATTTAAAAATCTTTAAAAATCTTCTTCTCAAGAACTATTTGGGCCAGAAAAGAAGAATTTTTTTTTTCAAGTCATGACCCCCAGAGGTAGGTCAGGGCCACTTTGGGCAAACAAAGTTTTACATTGGTATATATAGGAAAAATCTTTTCAAATCTTCTTAAAAACAGCATAGTCATGATCAGTCATATTTAAAAAGAAACATTCTCAGGTAGTGTAGATTTTAAATTTATTACATTCATGACCCCCAGGGGAAGGGTGGGGCCAAAATTGGCAATCAAAGTATTGCATAGGAAAACAAAGGAAATATTTTTAAAAAGCCTTTTCCAAGGAACAGCATAGTCATGATTAGTCATAATATGTAGGCATCCTCATGTAGTGTAGATTCAAGTTTGTTCAAATCATGACCTTGGGCATAGGGTGGAGCCATAATGGGCAATTGGAATACATATAAGAAAAAATGCTTGAAAATCTCTTCAAGAACAGGAAAACCATGATAGTCATATTTACATGGAAGCATTCACAGATAGTGTAGATTGAAGTTTGTTCACATCATAAACCCCGGGGATAGGGTGGGGCTACAACTGGCAATTTATATTGGAATGTATCACACAATTGAAAGATGAATCTGCTGATTAAGAACAGGAAGAGCTCAGATGAGCCCATGGGCCTCTTGTTTATTGTGGGGACACGAGCATAT